GAATAAGATGAACGCTCAAACACCGTGATTTATAGTGCTGGTTCTTAACTCTTTTCTCAATCTTTTCTTCATGACTTAAATGCACTTTAATTTTTGGGGTATTATGGCAGTTTGATGCCATTCTGTTTGGATTCTGTAATCCTTTGCATTAATGTTTGGTAAGAAAATAGAAAGAGGTAGAGAACATGGTTTTTTCTCAAAACATTGGCTTTGCATCCCAAATTAGGGCAACTTCTAGAAAAAAACAAATTGAGGTTTTCATTTTAAAAAATGAGGGTTTTTTTTTAAAAAAAAATCAAATTAAATTGAAAGAAAACTGGGGAAGATTGAATCGAAAAATTATTTTATAGTATGAACTGTTTTAAATTGTAAAATAATAATTTCTGGATAAGAGATAATACCCTTTAATATTGAATCTCTTCTTTTATTTAAAATTTTTTATTTTATAATTTAAATAATAAAATAATAAACCCAATTGAATTTGTGATTCAAAAGAAAACAATGGCAGGAATTAAAAAGGGGGTTAAGTAAAGTTCAATAGTTGAAGAACAAGTGTCGTATGAAAGTCTGCAAAATGTAATAAATATGGAAATCAGGGATAGAAAATGACAGAAGGAATTTGAGTAACCGTTGGAGTTAGACATAAATTTAAGGAAACAAACAGAGAACAGCACGGTTCCACATTGGAAAGAGAGGCCTTCTTATGTCATCACTTCACCCGTTCACAGTAATACTAATAATTAACACCCATCATACATAAGTTTGTTTTAACTGCCGCAATTTGAATTGAAAGTTGAAGTTTCTCCATTGGTTTAAAATTTTGTACCTAACAAGAAGTCTACAATTTTAGTTTTAAATTTTGGCTTTCAAACCAAAAAAAAAAAAATCAACAACACAACATCAATACTAAATATAACCGAAAAAGGCAAAAAAAAAAAGTTTATTTGTACAATTCAGCTAATAACTTAAATAATTCAGAAATCATTTTTTTTATTGAAAATAAAAAATTTTAAATTTAAATCGCATAATATAGAGGTTGAATTAGACAAAAGATAAAAGATAATTACCTCTTATTATGTAATTAAGATAATATATATTTAATAACTAATTAAATCAAATCCTCCACTTTTCTTGATCTCGCGCTGTTGTTCTGTGTATGATTTTCGAAACCTAAAATTCTCACTCTTGGATTACTGTTG